GACGAGGATGGGGAGGGGATGGGTGGTGGAGTTACCGCGAGTCGCCGCATTCAGTCTTCCCACCTGGACGTCCTGCACAGTCTCTCCGTCCCTCCCTATGATACCTGGGAACGTCGATTGGCCACCCGGGTGGCTCAGTGGTACCAGGTGCCGTTGAAGAAGCGATTGGAGGCCGGAAATAAGGTGAGGTCGGGGGCTTATTATCAAACCGCTATAAAAAAACAATGTAGAATGGACTCGGGGGAGAGAGTCAGGGCTGTTTTCCCCTATTTAAGTTGTTTACGTGAGGTTACGTGCCCCCTAAACAGGCCGTATGATAGATGCGCTGGATCATGAGGAGGGACAGATCAGGGTACGGCAAGCCTTATTCGGGTTGCGCGCCGATAACAGACGCTGAACATGAAGGGGGGGGGCGTGCTCGCATACACAGGGGGAAGGGGAACTACGGTCGCCTCAGCCGTCTGGTCCCGCTTCCGGTGTTCTAGATTCCGTCTTGACAGCGAACTCAGGTAGATGAGGGAAGAGAGAGAGAGTGCGATAGATGCGACGCAAGTATACTATCACTATAAACTAGTTCACGCGCAAGTCACGGTCCCAAGAAGTCTCATAAATGGAAATTTTTTAAACTGAAAGGTACCCTTTTTCCCGTATAACATTTGAAGAAGACATACTTGTCCACCAACTGAACACAAGAAGGTACAATATTGTGCATAAAATATAATTCACTTTATAAATATAGTGCAACTCAATGAGAAAAATGAATACGTAGCCATTTGTTACACAATATACAATTTGTGGACAGGCAGAAAAAAGCTTCATCCAAAGCCGACATCCTGGCCTGACTGAAATCTCCTGAGAGAAACCTGTGCGGTAATCAGTATAACAACACTACCTCGGTGATTTCTTCAAATCGAAAGCGCACTCCTATTGGTTCAGTAGAGGATGCCTATAAACCAATAAGACTATTAGACAACTCCTATTTGTTAACATAATGAAGGAAATGGTTGGAAAGGCCCAAATTCAACCTACTGAAAATTTGAAAGTAAGTGGTTATTATCAATACGAACCCTCAAAGGGCTTCTCTATGGATCTCTGCCTTCGGTGGACATATCATGGGATAGGGCATCTATTGTATTTACTAGAAGGTGGAAAGACGTTCTCTGGGACCAGTATTTTATTTACCCGACGTTTCGGA